GAAAGCAATTGAAGAATATAAGCGGCGAAGATTCAGCGAAAACTACTCATTGCTTGGTCGAGAGGTAGAATGGTGGACATTAGCGGGAAAGTTGTGAATTCACCTCCAAGCAGCATAAAAATGAAAAGGGGTAGAATCATATAAGTCCTACCGCAATTCAGCCCTATGCTGCCTCATAAATGCGTGACTAGGAGAGAATTCAGTCAAAAAAAACTAAAAGACAGCTATATGAAAACATTACACAGAATGAATTTCAAAAGACGCAAGTATAATAAAAAAAGCAAAAGTTAGAAACGAAGATGCAATAAATGTAGATTAAATCTCACCACAAGTGTTCCCCAATATCCACTGCGGCGGTGAATAGCGACAACAGAATTAAAATTACAAGCAGGGTGAAATACAAAGTCACTGCAAAGTAGAGTCAGAACAGTCAAATACGGAAGTCGAGTTACAAAAGCCAGAATTTGAATGGATACAAGTAGACTGTAGTACCAGTAGAATAAAAACATACAAATGAAATGCGAACAGTGCTTGAGCCTCGGTTAGCGCGGGGAATCCAGCAGAACGGCATCAGAATAGTGTTCAGCAGAGAATCTTGTAGAATACAACAGTTATCAGATTAGAATAATAGTAGAATAGCGTAGGGAATAGAAAAAGAAGAGGGAAGGTTGCATTGATCGACGTTGAGAGGTAGCTACTATTGATCCCGCAACGAATTGCCTGATTTTAAGCTAGACAGTTGTCGCAAAAAGTTGACAAATGTCGCGCGCAATTGGTTCGCCAATTTTTCGGGGTGTAGATTTAGCTGCGAATCGTCGCCCGGCTTAGGCCGGGCCTTGTTCCTTACTTTCACAAAGTAGTTAGTAAATTTAGCCATGGGGGAGGCATCGCTTTTATCCAACAGTGAGGGCTAGAGTGTTTAGAAGAGGTAGTCAACCATACCTATGCTTACTGGGGAAGGATTCTTGGTCACAGTGGCTATCCAAGATGAAATATATGCTGCCGTAGGTGGCTGCGAACGCTGATCACAAATCCGTGTTCCAAGTCTGCTAAAGGATCCTGGGAGCAAAGTTGCGGGACCAATTCCTCTACGTTTTTTACCACTGAACCGAACGGATCACCGAGCCGAGCAAAGCTTCAACTTCGCAACGGTGGCGCAGCTGGTAGGATGGTGGACTGGTAGGCATGGCATCAAGGTCTGTTCCTTGGTGCATGCGCTTCATCAATCAAAACGCTTGTAAAACGTTTTTGGGCTGTTGAGCATCTACGGGGCTCCCTTACAATTGAGGATTCTGGGAAAGAGTAATCCAATAAATTTCTCAACTACCACTGACCGGAGATACAGGGTAGCTACAAAGTGTGGTCCGGTATCTATTTGCATGTAAAAAAATAAATAGGACACATCTTCAAGAATTTTCATTGAAAGGTATTACTAAGATAAAGGAACATTTATTCAAGGTATTGTTCGAAATGATCGCCTTTGGCTAGAATACGAGCTTCCAATCTCTTCGTAAGGGCTCCCACGGTGGGTCGACAGTCTACACCAATTTTCTGCCATTCCCTCTGAAGAGCTGCCTTTAGACTGTCCAAACTGCGGGTTAGGGAGACACTCTCTGCTGCAGATAGCTCCAAACGGAGTAGTCTATTGGATTGAGGTCTGGGGAGTTAGATGGCCACATGTCTTTGTCCCAGAATCCAGGGAAATGATGTCGGCAGACGGAAATCGTGGATTTCGACCCATGTGCTGGTGCCCAGTCCTGTTGCAAGCTAAAGTTCCGTTCTCCAAAGTGATTTCGGGCCCATGGCAACAGTGTGTCCCTTAAAATAACATTCTGGTAAGTTTCCGAGTTGATTTTGATGATTTTATCAACAAAAACGAGAGGTGTTTTGCCTTCTGATGTTATTGCGGCCCATACCATAACTTTCGGGAACAGGCTCCTAGTTTTTATTCGTCGTTTTCTCTGGTTTTCCTCTGCCCGAGGTAGCAACTGCCGCTGGTTTAGCTGTTGTGCGCGACCTCGACCGTAAAGATTTTCACGTCTGTCCAGACGGTGTTCGAGAGCCGGCCCGCACGAACTGCTGCCGGAAGCTTCTGGCTTTTTTCCAGTCTGTTCTTCTTTGCTGCTTCGCTGAGCATTTGGCCTCGGAAGGAGCGGTGACTGTGTAAATCTATGCGAATCCGAAGCATTGTTCATGCTGACCTCATCGTTTCGTGAGATCCTCTTCAACCCTGTATACGCCGCTCCACTCCGAGCAGTCAGGTGGTGTCTCGTAATTTTTTGCAGCTCCCTGCACTGACGTAGAAGGCGGTCGAATGACTCATCCGACCAGTGCCCTCTTTGTACGCTCCACACATTCTTTTAATAGTGTCCGCAGTTTCGAAGAGCTGGTACAAGTTAACTGGCATTGTTGAAGAAACTGTGGAACAATAGTATATCGATTTGTATGCACACGTGATTATCTGGTATTCTTGAGGCAAACGCCCTTTCAAGAAGAGGTAAACGTGATGATGCGGTGGGACATGATACCACGGCTGTACTCGAAACCTGAATCCACCTACGACTTGCTTTGAAGTTATCCCCTATGGGCCTTCATTGTTAATTTGAAGCGACATCCAGTGGAAATGAGTGTCGTGCAATGAGATTCCTAGATTAATTTTATGATAACTTATCCTTCCAACTTATCCGCCAATCTACAGGGGCAGACAGATCGCTCCACTTATGTCGCACCTGATAGTTACAACGACATCGTAAGTTGTCCACAATAGACTAATTCAAAAGCTCATAGCCTCTCGCACTCTCCCTTCTTTTCCGTAGGCAGCACTCTGTCGTGATGATAGAGGACGTGCTTGTCATGTACGAAAGATTGCGGTTTCTTTCGACACTCGGAACTATAGAAGGCCATGGACTCCTCTACCAGCGCCATAAAGTTGGAGCTCATGGACCAAATCACAACGATGAAGGCTACGTTTCATTTTGGGATCTCTATATTCCCATAAACATACGAGATTTCTATCGCGAATTAGTGGTCCATCGTTTGTGTATCATCAGGCGACCGCAGAGGATCCTTGTGATCGTTATTCACGGACACGACTTCCTCGCAGTGGATAACGAGCTCGTTTTCATAGCATCGGAGTGTATAGTTGAAAAGCTCTTTATTAACTCCCTCCCTCCCCTCCTAAATTACGATCACTTCGCCTTCGGTCAGAATATTTCGCCGTCAAAATGCTGAAGAGTGTTTGATCCGAAGAATCATTTACAGCTTTTCTCCTTGGAGCCGCTTGAAGTTTGCCCAACATTGAGTACGAAAAACGTTTTGAAAGCGTTAAAGACGCAGTTCATGGAGAAACAAAACGAGCGCATGCACCACGGAACCGAACGTTGGTGTCACGCCTACCGGGCCACCATCCTACCAACCGCGCCACCGCTTGCAAAGCTACGGCACTGCTCGCATCTGTGATCCGTTCGCTACATTGGTATGACACAGAAATCCATTGGTCCCGTAACTTTGCTCCCAATATCTTTTACCAGATTTGAACACAAATTTGAAATCAGCATTCGAAACCACAAAAGGCGATATGCATCTCATCTTGAATGGTCACTGCGACCGGGTATCTTTCTCTTGTTAAAGACGATTCTATGCGAAAGAACATAGTTGTTACCCAAGCCTCAGGAGGGAAGGAGCGCCGGGGTAGGGGGTGAGATGACTACCTCATGCAAAAGGCTAGGATGGGTTATGAGTTAAATATTCAATTGACGCACCTACAGGGTGCTCCTTCCCTCCTGAAGCTTGGGTGAAAGAACTATATTTCTGTCCGAGAGAAGTTCCCGAGCACAATTATTAAGCAGCCTCCTTATTTGCGCTCCAGCCCTCGGTGTTGAAAAAAAGTGGTCTCTCAGCTATATCATCATCTCCCATTTTTGTCTAGACATACATAGCACGATGTTGGTACAGATCGAATTCACAGTTTTGATGCACCCACTTCACGTAACTCACTTCACTCCGCAGTACAAACTCTATTCCGTTAACCGGCCCACCAAGTTCCTGCTTTATATGTAAGAAAGAAATGTATAATAGAGCTGGGTTTACCATATCGCTGCCTTGATCGTAATCATAAAGTTTCGCGGACGGACACACAGACAAACCGACAACCACACAAACCGACACACCAAGTTATTTCTTTATACATAGAGAGAAAGTGCGCTGTAAGCGTAGATTTCCAAGACAACATATTTCTGTACCAGTCGGATCACCCGGCTAACGACGGGCTTTCCTCCCTCTTATGATAGAGTTGTCTTTCCTCTCAGCTCCTCTTTATTTGGAACAAATGATGCTTTTCGGAGTGCGAACCGGTTTTGTTGCTGTTCATCTTGAAAACAATGACTCATTGAAGGTTCAACTGGTGGGCAACTAAAGTCGCAAATGGTACTCACAAATGTTGTCAAGTCATAATAACACCATTATCAGTTAGGCTTTTCTCCCCTACGGAAAATCATTGGATGAGAATTCAAGAATATTAGCGGTCGTATGAGTTTTGATGATGAGAAGAATGATCTCGAAGCAAAGAGAAACCGTGATCCTTTACTGAGTCGCAGACTTTGCTGGGTAGCGGTCGCAATCTAATAGCAAGGAATGAACCAGTTTTCCTCTCCTTATAATTTAGTACCATCAATCGCCACTGCAATTACCCTTCTTATCGAATGAAAGTCAAAGCTAGATAACATAAATAACAAAGGCATTAGGATTCAATGGTGAGAGGAGCTTGTTCTCTGAGGCCTCTCCTATCGTCAGTGTTTCCATTCCGTCGTCAGTAATCCCATCCTGCCTCCTCTACTACTATCAATTTTGAACTTCCCAAATCCAGGGTAACAGGAGTTATGGATTTCCGCTCGAACATTTATTTCCGGAAACTCCGCTCCATGTGGGCGGAGTCTGGCCTTCCCACACGACATGAGTATTCCCATCTTGCCGCCTGCACTTCTACCATGCTTAAACGCTTCAGGCCGACGGGGAGAGGAGTAATAAATTTCGGTCGGACACAGCACACACACAACACACAACACACAAACATTAGCGCGCTATATATAGTGGCATAGGATTGTAGCGGCTGTCTCTATTCTTCGTGTTGTCCGATAAGAAAATGTCAAAGATGGGAGGCGTTGACGTCGATTGATATCGCGGACTTGGCTTATGTAACGCATTAGGGCCATTGAATTTCGACTAGGAAAATAATAGCAGCGACCTGTACATCAGCTAGCCTCCATAGGTCCCTTTATAGGTAGAGAATAATTTAGTTACATACAATATGAAAAGAAAAGGTACATGATCCGTTTCACCGCTTACTCGAGCGAATCACGTTTTTCGCTGAACCCCGATAATCTTCAACGACTGAATATTAAAGAAGAACAGAACAGATAAAAGTTGTAAAGGTAGTTGTTGAGGTTCATTACGATGAAATACAGTCGTGGGAGATGTCATAAATCTAGTGTAGTATAGGAAAAGTAGAACGAGAGGAAATGTAGTTAATTTTTAGCGCTGTCGTCACTATAATCAGTAGGCCAGTGAAGGTCCGTATCTTCGGCCCTCACTGTTCTCCTGATTATAGTGACGTAGTTACGAAATGGTCACATAGATTTTCTATGTGAGGTCACCTATTATCAGAGAAGTCTTTATTACTTCTCGTTTCTCCCGAACAAAAAGAAGAACCTGCCGCCGGAACGGATGCTTTTCTACGAACCACCAAAAACTTCTGTTAACACATAGTATCATTGTACTTGTTTAAGGAATTCGGTTCCCGCGATCCCAGCATTTAAGGAGTGAAATTTCCGCCCTGTATTATGCAGATCCATTTTTAGCGTAGATTTGTTCCTTCCACTTCCGCTGGTTTGGAAGCGAATCTTCTTGTGGTCGGAGAGGGTGAAGACAACACTCCTGAAACTATTTCTAGTAGTGTTGGTTTCCGGGAACGTTCCTTAAAAGTACAGTTGACGGTAAAATTGGTTTCTGTCTGTGTCTCGACCCCCATCCCTCGTCGCTCTAACAGTCTGATGAGGCGACATTCTAAGGGTACAGGGACGCCTGTTATGATACGAGGCTCAGGCGGGCAGGACCATCAGAGGGGAAGGACCACTAAAAGGTGCGGTTTCCAGTCTACCGCCAACAAAGGCAAGGGCGGGACTTGACTCAAATGCTCACGTTTACCAACTTCCTATTGTACACTTTATTATCTTTATCACATTCCTTACCTTTTCTACTATTCGTGTTTTTCATTGTCTCGTAAAGTTCCATACACATGAATGCCATACATACATATTTACACAACCACTGAACTGCTTTCGTTTCTTGTACATCGGCCGAAAAGTGAAAAAACCACATTTCGGTGGAATGTAACTTTCGAATTAATAGATAGTATCGAGATTCTCTAACTTCCGGATCATTGAATAAGACCGAACCTGGTTCTACATCTGAATTTCTTTGATTTCAATAAAACAAAAGATTTGATCAGAATAATGTTGCTCCACTTGCACAGAAGTCCGATCATCTCTAGCGCAACGACGCTTAAAGGCACAGTTCTTGATAATTTTGGGTAATCCAGAGTGTGACGAAAAATGGAAGATGAGATGGAAAAATAGTGCAATGAAGGCGAAGAAACTGCGTGAATCGGTGTTTACAAGTGAAAAAAGGCTTTGACAAATCGTTAAAAAGGGGGCTAGACGAGAATCAGGCCAGAAAAACGAAGAAGAATGGGACGTTTAGACGAGCTATACAATGTGTGTAATTGCGTACGTGTGGGTCCTGGTGCGAATAGCTGAATACGGTTAGTAGAAATTCATTCAGTCATAAGCCCAAGATAACGGAAAACCCTAGTAACGGCAAAATAGCCCACCTTTTTCAGCCTTCTGAGGTAGAAAGTAAGAATAAGGATCGCAGCAGCAAAAAGAATAGCAAAGAATAAAAGAATGGGAGAGAGACACCGCCTCATCACTCGGCGATCAGCTGATTGTGTGCTAAATGTGTGGGTCCTAGCACGAATATTGCAACCTGTATCGCCTCGTCACTCGTCTGACGTGATATCGATCGAGGGTCGAGAAGTCCCGGCGATCTGGTAACGGGGCACCCACTATGCCGTAGCTGTTGAGTTTTGGGGCTCGACGACGTCCATCCTCGTTACCCTTGGGGGCCACTGGGTATTCCTAGGGGGAGAACTCAGACACCAATTTTATCATGAACGGTGTCTAAAGAATTCGGTTATGTGCTTTAGGAAATGTATGGTCAAAGTAGATTTCCCGCAATAGATGAAGAGACCTACGAACAGTGTAGGTCTGCAATAGCGCCACTGAAGAGTGGCATTAGACAAATGAACAAAGTCACAGTGAAATTCCAAAGACTGTAACGAGATCATAGTTTCCAGTTTAACGAGTGGTAAAAAGTGGGTGAAGGTGAGGGGGTTAACAAGTGAGCCGAAGGAGACTCAGCGGCGGTGGGTGGAGCGCTCTCGCACTGGGCAGTAATTAACACATGAGATCATAACTCGATTCAAAGGGAGCTGGAGGCCACAAAAAAAGAAGTGAGCAAGGCTATATGCGGGCATAAAAATATATGGCACAAAGCACGAAGAAGCTCCACTTGGGTGCTTCTCGAAAAAACTCGTAACTGTTCAAAAACGTCCTAGAACGCGGGAAAAGAGTGGTCGAAGGCCGTAGAAGGTCTGCGGTCAACTCCAGAGTGGGCGTGGTTTGCACCCAAGTGGGCGTGGCTAAGATCAAAAATCCATTGCTCTGTTCAAAAATGTTCTAGAGCGCGGGAAAAAGTAGTGGGAGGTAAGTGGAGAAATGTGGCCGAATACCGGACTTGACTCGAGTTTGCAGAGTGGGCGAGGCTAACAAGGGAAGGATACTTGGTCGCAGTGGCCATTCAAGATGAGACGTATACCCCCCTAGGTCGTTTCGAACGCTGATCTCGAATCAGTGTTTCGAATCTGCTAAACGATTCTGGGAAAAAAGTTGCGGGGCCGATGCCTCCCTGTGTTATACCACACTAACGAACGGATCACCGAGCCGAGCAAAGCATTTACCTGTGCAGCGGCGGCCGAGCGGGTAGTGCAGTGGACTGGTAGACATGTCATCAAGGTTCGACTCCTTGATGTATGCGCTCGTTTTGCTTTTCCATAAAATGTGTCCTAAACGCTTGCAAAACGTTTTTAGGCTAATATTGGGCATCTGCGAAGTCCCGCACGATTAAGGAACACTGAAAAGTATTATAAGGGAGGTTTTTGTTTTGCCCCTCACCGGCCGAATAAGGGTGGAGTTACATTTGAGCGAAAAAGGAGTTTTGAACATTTGCCCAAAGGGCTCAGGAAGCTTCAAGGAGGAAGGTTCCAAATGATTCATCGCGTCAAAAGCTATTCTATATGTTACCAGCAAATCTTCTGACCGAAGGTTGTGTCATACTTGATGGAGGACTTTCATTCTTGTAGTATAACGTGGGTACCATCTAGGAAGAGGTGGTGATGAAGAGCTTTGAACCGTACTTCTCGATGCTGTGAAAATAAGCCCGTTATCCTTTGTGAGGAAATCGAGTTCGTGAAAGGCGATCACAATGATCCTTTGCGTTCGCCTGATGATGAGAGAGACGATGGACCCGTACTTTCGGAAGGATATAGAGGTACCGAAGTGAAATGTAGCTTTCAAGTTTGTGATCTGACCCACGAGCTCCAATTTTATGGCGCTGGTAGATGAGTCGATAGTCTCCAAAGTTCGAGTTGGTTGGTTGGTCTCAACTATTGTGTGCAAAACAAGCGGTCCGATCTGCCCACCTATGGAGAATAAAGGTCATTTAAATAGGGGTCCCTTTACAAGGCAGTCATATCCACCGGATACCGCTTCCAATCAACAATGGAGGACCACTGGAAACAACTTCAAAGCAAGCCGTTGGGGGATTCAGGGTTTAGTGTACAGTAGCATGCCTCACCGCACCACCACTTTTACCTCATGAAAGGGTCTCTTGAAAGGGCGTTCACCTCAAGAATAGATTTAGCGAATAATCATATGTGCACATAAAACAACAAATTATTCTTCTACAGTATTTCCCCAACAATGCCAGTTAACTTTTACCTCCGCTTCGAAAGCGCGGACAGTATTCGTAAAACGTGAGGACCGTATCCCTCCCAAAGAGGGCTGTGGTCGGTTGACTCATTCAACCGCCATCCACCGTAAGTGGTGCAGGGTGCTGCCGAAGATTTCGAAACACTATATTGAGTGTTCTCGGGAGGGTGGCGTACATATATACATATATATGGTCAGTAGTGGTAAAATTTTTTCATCGAATTACTATTCCCCGGAATCTTAAATCGTGCGGGAGCTCCGTAGATGCCCAATGTTGAGCCCAAAAACGTTTTGCAAGAGTTTAGGACACATTTTTTGGAAAAGCAAAACGAGCGCGAGCATCAAGGAACCGAACCTTGATGCCCGATGCCCTGCCTACCAGTCCACTACACTACCCGCTCGGCCACCGTTGCACAGGTACGGTCTTTGCTCGGCTCGGTGATCCGTTCATTAGTGTGGTATAACACAGAGAGGTATCGGTCCCGTAACTTTGTTCCCAGATTCGTTTAGCAGATTTGGAACACAGATTTGAGATCACCGTTCGAAACCACCTACGGGGGTATACATCTCATCTTGAATGGCCACTGCGACCAAGTATCCTTCCCTTGTAAGAGCGAGAGTTCACAGCTATGATTGGAAAGTTCTAGAACGCGGAAAAAGTGGTTAGGGCAGCCAAAAGAGGGTTGGTTGAATTTTCATGGTGGTTCTGCACTAAAGTGGACGTCGCCAAGTTCAACCCGAGTTGCCCTCAAAGCGGTTCAATCTTCAAATCTGGAGAGAACTATCTTATTCTGACAATCGAACACCGCGCAGAATGACTCCATCGTAGATGCGCTGTAGTGGACATATAATGCATGCGTTAGCGTGCATAGCCCAACTGGTGTAAAAATAAGGCAGATGCGATGAATGTAATGCTCGGAATATAGCAAGTAAAAGGCTTCATGCTCGCTGCGCGCCTCGACGAAGCAAACTGCGCGAGAGAAAGATTAGATGTGTGATTAATTTACACCGCGCTAAATGCCCAAAGGCTACAAGAGTCAAGCTCAGATGGAGAAGACCACCGCTCGCAAATTAACAGACGATGGTTCTGAACAAGGCCCAGGCAACAGTAACGGGAAAAGTTCCATAGATAACGCAGCAGGGTCGCAGACTACAGAACTTACAAACCGGCCACGAGGTGGCCGCTCAGTAAGACCGCTCAAGCGTCCCTGTCCAAGCTTTATGGGAACTCCGAAGGCAACCCTGGTTTATAAATGGATAAGCTTGACATAATGGAAAAAATTTTGCTGCAAAAAATAAGTTTGATGGGGAAAGCTCAACACTCTACAGGGTGCGTCAAAGTTATAGCGACAAGGTATCTGTGTCGTCTCGAACGACTCGTTTACATTTTAGCGAACTTCCAATGCAATAACGTCTATTGTTCACTTCAAAATTAAAAGCATTCAATGGATCTCGAAAATTCCTCCGTTGGCCTCGACGCAAGCCTTGGACGCTCAGGGAAAGCATCGACGGTGGCACGCAAGTATCGCGCGCTGAGCTTGTCCCACGTCTTCTCAAGAGCCCTGTTCAGCGAATCCACAGAGCGATGAGGTTTCGAGCAAGCCTCTGCCTCCGGAACGACCCACACTGTAATCCATGGGATTTAGGTCCGGAGAGCAAGCCGGCCACTCGTTATAGACGATTACGTTGGGAAGTTTTCTCGCACCACTCTTGCACCGTAGTCGACCTGTGAGCGGGGCTCCATCCTGCTGGAAGGTCCAAAAGCGGTTCCCAATGTGAGAATTAGCCGAAGAGAGCAGTTTATCCTTCAAAAGGTCCACACAGTTTCGGCTGTTCACTTCAGTCCCTTCGGGAACGAACCACAGCGGTCTACCACAACCAGAACTGAATTTTCCAGACCTGCCCTTTTGAGACATTTTCTGATGGCGGCGCTGACTTCGTCAGAGATAAATGGCAGCACGAAGGAAACTTTCTCTTCCATGAAGGTACTACCATGTCTTCGTTCCGCGCCACTGAAAAAAACTTTGAGGGTGATCGGGGAAATGCAACAACCATTTAGGTGGGCAAGGGCGCGTGCCATTTCCAACGACTCTTTCCGCTCATCCTCTCCAGTACAGACCTTCGTGGTGGTTCGGAACATGTTCATTACAACGGCTCGTTTTGTATGGAGAAGATGAGCTGAGCGGCAATGGACGATGATGTTTTTATTGCTTGGTTTTCTGTACCACTTCGTAGCAACCATATCGCTCTGCAACCTTACTTGAACGTTTAAGGAAGGAAGTCAATCTTCGGTAGGTTTTTCCCGTGTTAGCTCGATGTGCTCCGACTGTGTGTTGAGTAGGTCAAAACACGTAGCTATTTCTTCCTGCGTCGAACAGACTATGAAGCAATCATCTATAATATTTGCAATAGAGCAGAGGTGTTTCAATACGGGCGCTTCTATCTTGGCCATGAAAGCCACTGCCAAAGTAGGTGCCAGTCGTTGTCCCATGGCCAAACCTCTAGTCTGCGCAAAATACCTTCCCGACCACTGAGACACTCTTTTAGAAGTGCAAGTTGCGGGAAGGTATTGGACTTGCATATTAATATCGGTTTGGTGCTGGCTAAGGAGCTCGAGTACGGCTTATATAGCTGACCCGTTGCTGACGTTGGTATAGAGGGCTTCTACATCAAAGGATTCCATAGCGCACGAATTACTTGGATGTATAGGGCCAAGGCAATATAAAACATTTGGGTGTTTGCTAGGTAGGATGGTATGAGTTTTAGAAGCTGCACCAAAATAGTATTAAGGAACCACGCGATACGGTCAGTAGGACCACCCACGCAGCTTATGATGAGGCGGACTTTTACCGAGGTGGGATTAACAGAAGTCAGGTCTTCTGCTTCCAAAAACTTAGGCGTTTTCATTGGCAGGTACAAGAGTCCACGAACCGCGATTGTGTGCGCGCAAATCCCTCGAGGCATTTTGGACACAGGCCAGCAAACCGAATATGATCCGGAGGGAGGATTGCCTCACAATTACGCGGGAACTGAAGCCTTATGTTAGGTTGGCCTTTCCACAAGGATTCCGATGAAGACACAGCCCGGCTGACCTGGTCCCACTATCGATTGCTGGGTGATTTCGAGGATCCACGGAGTGACGGTGAATGCTCCTCCTTCGGGTTACGTGGTGCTCTGGGGGTGTCGATGTTCCGTAGGGTTGTAGAGACCTTTGATCTAATATCAACAAATTGATTTTGATCCGCTTTTAGGCTCTGAGGAAGGCGATATCGCCGAAACGTTAGCTAATAAACCTTCATATCAACCTCGTGGGAGTTCCAAGCAACATTAACATCAGTTCACAACCATGCCGAGGTTTATGAAAGCCGGAACGTGGAGATTGTTAGTTGTGTTACTGTAACCACTCTTCCTACCGTCTCTCAAGTTTCTTTCTCTTACCACGGAAGGTTCCCAAGTCGAAGTGGCCATTTGAAATGATTTGAAATGAGACCTACACTGCTGGACGTGTTTTTGAATGCTGAGTTCGAATCTGCTTTCCAATTTTGCCAAGCGTTTCTCTGAACGAAGTTATGAGGGTGGTTTCAGGGAGCTTAACATAAGAAAGCCTAAATTACATGCTTCTGCCTCGTTTCTCAACGGCGGCTCGGTGTAGTGGTAAGCGTGACGCCTCTTGTGCGAGAGGCTAGGGTTCGGGTCTTAGGGAGGGGGGGGGGGGGGGTCGGAATTATGTAGAATTTTTCTCCTAAGGACTAGAACACGCTCTCATGGTGATTTTATCACGTTTTATGACCTTTTAATGCTTTTGCTGATCCTTATCCTCATAAAGTAATACTTCATTTTTACTCGCATGCCCATGCACTTTATATTCACAGTAGGATAACTTTTGCCACTTTATGAACAAATGTAATACTCTAGCACAAAATGCTTGAAACAAAGAAGCTTCTCACAATGAGACGGATAAAAAAAACTCGTCATGGCCCATTTCTTCATACTTACTAACCCCAAGTCTAACCGCACAGAACTGAAAGTAGACAAGCGATAGTAAGGAAAGAATGGAGTCTTGTGTGTACACGCAAAAGTTGAGATCATGAGAGATCATATTACAAATAAGGTGGTGCGTTCAACCATATTTCTAAAAGGAAATAAGAAATGAGCTTCTATCGGCTGTATTAGCCTCGTGGTAGCCTCGAGCAGGGTGTCATTCCTTTCACCTGCTTTTGTGGAGGTAGGACGCACTGAATAGCTTTCTGGTCTTGGAATGATGTCCACGAGTCCACTATCAACAGGGCTGGTGGTGGTGAGTCCGGAGCTGCTACGCACCATCGCAGAGCATCATCATTGCTCATCATATGCGTTTTACTCGTCCACACCTCCAAATTTTGCGCACGGAGGAATCTCCCACTCGGTATGAGGTAGGTAGGTAGGAGAAGGTATCAGCAAAGCATTAAAAGAAAGTGATAGATTCTCTATGAGAGTATTTTCTAGTCCTTAAGGGGAAAATTCTATATAATGCAAAGATTTCGTCCCCTACAGAACCACAACCTTAGCCTCTCGCACAAGAAGCGTCACGCTTACCACTACACCGAACCGCCGTTGAGAAACGAGGCACAAGCATGTAATTTAAGCTTTCTTATGTTGAGCTCCCTGAAACCACCCTCATAACTCCTTTCAGAGAAACGCTGGGCAAATTTGGAAAGCAGATATGGACTCAGCATCCAAAAACACGTCCAGCAGTGTATGTCTCGTTTCAAATGGCCACTTCGACTTGGGACCCTTCCCTGGTTAGATCCGAGGACTGATATGGCGACCGTGAGAAGCTGCGGGAGGATGGCAAGAACAACGAAAGGGGAAGCGGGTGGCATTCGAGGGAGCGACAACGACCGAGTAGGTCTTCGGCCACAAAGATTTGTTTAACCGATCCGTTGAGCCGGTACACGTCAGCCCAGTACTCTGAGGCATTAAAATCATAAAATTTACATTTTTTCTTTCCCACGCTGCACTTTCTTAACTCCGTGTGTAGCCGAAAAGGCAAACGGTAAGTGGGGTAGAATAGATACAATTTTCACGGCTCTGACCTTAGGATACCCAGAAGTGATTACTTTGTGCTTGCGATGAGCAACACAATCATTGGGCTTGCTCGGTGTGTTACGGCACTTAATCGACTGATAATAGTAAGGGAATCGCTTGTGACGCCCTGAGGTTCCCTTGTAGATGTCCTGTGCATGCGTTGGACTTTCTTTTTAAAAAAACTTTTGTTCATGAAATTCTCGCTCGCTCGCTTCGAATATATAACTTTATTTGGTGAACTGAGCCCATTTGCTTCTGTTGGGCCGTTATTGTTTGGTAGGGTGGGTTTACAGATGTTTTTAATGGCCGTCATCTCATAGCATGCTTTAGGTTTGTTACATTCTTCTACAAGCAATCCTTCACCGTATAAGGTAGTCCCAAATACAGTGTTCGCAATGTGAAGACCTGAAGGAGTTCTCGCAATGGAATTCCCATTCAATTTCAATTCATGGTAAAGGTCTAACCCTACCAAAGTGTGAGCACTTTAGTGTTCCTCTCGAAGCTTCGAGTTTGCGAAGCAGATATTGGTTTTTTTCAAAAAAAGTAATATCTATATCTTTCAATCTAACGCTAAGGAATCCGTTGGTTAGCACTGGTTTTGCTGGGATCCTAGGGTCGACTTCTTCCCCAAACGCAGCGTAGTCACTACGCGACTTTCAAAATATTCAGTACGTCCAGCAATACCCGATATGTGCATATTTCGGGTGTGGACTTAGGATGAGTCCTTCAGCAGGTCCCTCTTCTATGACGGTCTTTTGGCCCCAGGGTCGAAAAGGAGTACTTTTTCGTACTTCTGCTTTCTTTAATGTCATAGGTTCCCTTGAGCAGTCATTAGGACTAGCTGTGAACTTGCCTAATTTTGCTCGTTAGCAAGTGTAAGGGTGTTTTCTATTTTCATATGAGTGTGATCGTTTGAAAAATTCCTTGAATCTTTCTGGTTTCTTTGACTGATGACTCCTGTTTTGATCATGAGACAGACTGAAAAGGGCACTCGTTTAGATGGACTGTTCCTCTCAAAACTCCGCTATTATCGTCCATTATTATTTTCGGCGATGGCTTTGATCCGTAATTATTCTGATTCGAAGCTATAAAGGATTACTCCTATGGACATGATGCACGTATCGTTAATTTGGGAACGCGAGTTGATTGCCATATCATGTCCTTCGGTGGAGCTACTGTCCACGGCATGACCCAGCCTAGCCTCGACGTATTCCTTAGCGGCAATCTCCCTCTTCAATTGAACAGTCAAGTCTTCCGTTGCGAGACTGTCATGAGGTTGCCCCTGTACCAGAACAGGCTTCGTGACATCCTTACATGAAATTTCGATAATATGGTGTATTGGTGGTTTAGTGGTTTCATACTAATAACTCCGGTGATGAAGGAGTGGAATACAGCAAATGTAATAATAAGCGCGGTCGTTACCGCTATGAAATGCACAGAAGGGAAGTTAGTAAATAAGTATTTATCTAAACGGCACAAAACCCACCTGCTGCCTTTGCTGTTGCGTTAGGTAGAATGGTAGACCCACTTATGGTAGGCCGCTTGACCCCGCACCTTTTAGGGGCATGGGTTAAGCTGGAGGGAATCATCTCAGACAGTGCGACGACGAGATAGTTATGGTGAGGTGATCGTCGCCTTAGACGACGATATATGGTTTCACACAATATTGGATCACAGGTTTTTGTTATGTCGTAGCCTGCTGATATCATTTGATGGACCAAACATTGCACTTGGGCGGAAGTTGTTGTGAAACTTTCAGCCGAATTCCCAGTGGGCCTCAAACTTATCAAATTTCGGACTGTTTGGGCTCTATTCACACGGTACTGTATTCATACTCTATTCACAGGTT